AAAAAAAAAAAAAAAAAAGACTCCTTTATCTGCATTAGAAACCATCCACTTTAGCCAAAGAACATTTTGTCAAGGTATCTGCTACTACGCATTGGGGATCCATATGGATGCAGTCCACAGTGATACCTGTTTTGACTTTCTCTGACCCAGGCAGCATCTAAATACCTATGATCAGAGCAGGAATACCACTAAGTGATATAAAGGACCTGTCGTGGGAATGAGACCTTAGGCGACTGAGGGCGCTATCAGTCCATCTATGGAAGTCTACCCCCTCTGTGTCTGATGCTGGGCCTGAATTAAGTTGTTCTTGCAGCTATAAAGGGAAGGGAGGATCACTGTAAAAGTTGCAGAAACCAAGGACAGACTAGAGATGTACCTGTCTCCTAGACTCACAGATCCTGATGATGCAGGCTATGCTGGAGCTTTTCCACATGCACCTGGCCTGGGATGGGGAGAAGCTAGAGGAGAAGATGGGGGAGCTGGGGAAACCTGGGACAGCCACTGCACATACCAGTGAGATGAGTCAGCACACTGACAACAGTGCATCAGCTGTACTCCTGACTTCTAAATATCATGCACATTTCTCTTGTGGTCAACTCTAAACTTGAAACAAATGGGTAAGGAGATTGTAGGAAATGAAGCTGCAGCCTAGCTTAAGCTTTGGTGAAAGCCACAATGAAGTCTGCAGGTCCAGACCAGTCTGGCTTCACCAGCCTGATTCTGAGCCTACCTGTATATAAGCCAGCCAATCTCAAACCACGCAAAGGGGGATTTATCATTCTGACATTCTGGGTAAACAACTTCTGTCGACCCATACCAACCTTCATCACTTCTGAAGAACTACACGGGTATTTCCATGGCCCTGAGTATCTGCAGATGAAGGGTGATAAACACCTCCTAGAAAAAGGTGTCTGCATCAGCTGGGGGCTTAACACCTCCAGTGACTGCTCTCAGGGCTCCACAATGGGAACAACGAGCAGCCTGATTGAACAGAAAACTCGGGAAATATGTAATGTTAGGCTGAAAGTATCCTAGAATTGCCTCAGTCCAAAGAATTGTCTTTCTTGAAGCAAGCTTCTCAGGTGCAGTTGACCTACTATGTGACTTGCAGGTCCCAGTTTGAGAACCCCTTTGTTGATTGTCACCAACCAAGGCACAGTGGGCAGGCTATTTGACTCTGCACTGAAACAGAGCTGATTGGGTTCTCCAGGGTAATGACCACAGCCTAGGGACCTAGGGGGTGAGGGCAGAAAGGGATTAAGGTAGTCATCTAGTCTGACACATCCTTGTACAGATGAGGGAAATATGAAGGCAATGGGATGTGCAGAAGGGGAAAGCCTGGCCCCAGAATAAGCAGCTCAGTCAGTGGCAGAGCCACAGCAGGAGTTGGGAACCATCCCCAATTCCCTCCTCATCCACAATAGCATGCTTTTTCCCAAAGGCACCTATTCCTAGAAACAGGACATGGATGCCACAGGCTAATCTGAGTATGTTTACTGATTTATGTCCATCTGCATCTTTCAGATCTGTAACTATAATGTTCATCCCTTCAAACTCTCCCTTGGTTTCTTTGGGTTTTCCCCCTCTGTAGTTTGCAGTTCCTCCCCATTGGACATCACTAGGTCCATTTCTGGTTCCCCTGGGGAACTGCCCAAAGTTTCTTCTGGAATTAGGGATCTTTCTCCTAGCCTCATCTCTCTATTTCCATCCTCATCCAACAGGAAAAGCCAGAGAGCTCCTTTCGGGACAGTACAGGGAATCCAAGCTCTCATTCAAGGCAGCCACGGTGGCAAATCAAGTCTGAAGCTTCTCCCCAAGATAAAAATCCTGGAAGCAAAGATGCAACAATCCAATGGGAGTTGTAGAATATGATTATTCTGTTCAATTTTTCTGCTTTAATGCAGCACCAAAGGACAATAACTACAAATAAGTAATTCAAAGTCAGTACTCATAAAAATGGCAGCCTTTCTCCTGTGTCCAAGAAGACTTGAAAGTAAAACTTACATGTCTCAGGTGACAAGAAGTAAAACTAAAATCCTGGCACATTCAAGCTAAAGGGATCACTAACATGAGTTAATGTAGCCTCTTGTTAGTTGAGTCCAGAAGAGTGAGGTGAAATGATTTGTCCAAGGCACACAACTTGTTGACAGCAGATACAAGACAAAAACTGGAATCTTGATTTCCTGGCCAGTATTTTTTCCTTGCAACAAAATACTGGTAGTCATTCATGATCCATTCAAATAGATATTTTTCATGGGTCATTTTAGACCATTTGCTCAAATGCAATTTCAAGACAAAAACAAAACCAACAAGCATTATAAAAGCTTAAACACAATATACCAATCTGTGCCACCCTATGAAGCCTCATACCCAAGTACAAGGTGGGTGCCCTTTCAGGAAGTAGCTACTGTTCTCTAGCTGCAGGAGAGCCAAAATGTGGGCTCCATCTGGCAGGGCCCCTTACTGGTAAAAGGAAAGACCTGACTCCAAACTCTTCCGGTACCACAAGAATCAGAACAATCACAAATGGTTCTGCCAAAGCTGAACTTTATAAAGAGATTCAGTGATTTCTCGGACTGTGTCACAAGAGCCTAAAGCACAGCATTCTAATTTTTAAAAAGCACATCATTGTTTGCATTCAATGAAATTCCTTTCAAAATCAACTTTCCATGTTCAATTATAGTCAACAACATTCTAGCTAACATTTCGGCTGCAATTCAAATTAACTAATGCCCAAAAGAGCCCTAATCGACATGGTTCTGAGCTCAATTGAATACAATCAAAGCTCATGAAATGAAGGGGAAAATGCTTATTTCATGCAAATTCTGCATATCACTCAAGCTTAATTTTACTGATAATATAAAGGTGGGACATTTTGAACATTACAGTGAATGAAACTTTTAAGCGGTGAGAGTTATTTTATAAAATGCTACCTCTGAAAAGCTGATTGCCAAACAGTATAAAAATGGTTTGAGGCATAAATGCCAAGTTCATTTCTATTTCACTTCTGAGGTAACTATCTTTCAAATCGCAACAGCTGGACTATTTAACACAATCTGGTGAATCAAAGTATAGCTCTTCTCTGGTCTCCCAGTGGGACATCTGCATTAGTCTGTGGCAGCCATCCAACAAATGACGCACAGCCGGACGGTCTGAACTCTGTTTCATTTACAATAAAAATGGATAAAACCACAATCATATTTACCACCTTCAAGGACAGAAAACGGAAAGATTTAAATTTGTCTTTATAAAGTAGTTTCCTGGGAAAACTCCAAAGGGGAAGTCAGCCTTCTATTTTCCCTAGTGTAAAAATACGTCGTACTTTTTTTTCAAGCCCTTTACACAGTTACTAACTAGAGCAGTGAACAGAAGTAGCATTGCAGCAGAGATAGTTTTTATTGTTTCTTCCTGAAACTCTATTTTTCAAGAGCCTTTAACACACTTGTCCAAAACCTCACAATATGAAGTTTAAAAACTTTCTATATTACTGCCAATTCTCATACTTTTAAATATAATGAAGGTAGAACAAAGCTAAAATTTTGGCTTTGCGTACTTTCTTAAAAATTCCATTTTAGCTCAAGAAATATATTACCTTGTCAATCTGCATCTACTTCTCTTTGTAGGAAAAATAGACTGAATTTTTAATTATAAAAAAAGAACAACATTGAACAGAATGTCTCTGTGTTTGAGAATCTGACATCAGCCTCTAGAGGCTGATTGGTCCTTAAGATTAATACGAGTTCCTTTTGAACAGTGGTAACAATGGCTGGGCAAAGATCCCTGTGTCCATGCTCGGCAATATTTCCTCTAGTTTCCCAAGTGCCACGCAGGCATGTCTCATGTCCCAGATCATCATGGGCACCGTGAAGACTACCCTGGATCTTTTAGCGCAAGCTGTATGGCAGATATTTACAGATTCTGAAAGTGCATCACACCCACCAGCAAAAACAACACTGACACGTGTGAACTGACTGAGTTTAGCTCAGCAAAGATTATGAAAGGAGTGGGGCACCTTTTCCTAGGTTCCATTCCAGCTTTTTGTAATTCTGCCCAATTTTAGTATATGTGCTGCCAAAGTGAGCACACTTTTGCACAACTTTAATCACTGTGAAAATTCATTAAAAGCCAAGCATTATTTACAAGAATATTTTATGAGACATGTCTACTGCAAAACTCACCATACATAAAACTGGCTCTATAAGAAAGACACTAAACACAAAATGCTTGTGCTTTCAAAGTTTGGGGGGACAATATTTTAAAAAACATAATTCTTTCAATGTACTTTGAACTCTTTTAAGATGGAAAGTCACAAAGGACTCAATTTGCCACTTTTCATAGTTACATGATAAATTATATTTCTTTTTTTTTTAATGTTGTTTGATTTTTTGTTGTTGATGTTTTGTTTTGGTTCC